TATCCCCTGTCAAACCCCGAGGAAAATTTTTTCCCAAGTCACGTGGATCATGGGAAAAATTCCTTTCTTAAAAACTTTGGCAGGGGTATTGCTCTCCAAATCTCAAATTTAACTCCTGACTACGGGAAATACAGTGAAGTTTACCACTGAAAAATTGATTTGGGGACTCTATTTGGAAAGAAAGTAAGAGGTTTCTGTACCAACCTTCCCCTTAAAGGAAAAGTTCCCCAAAATTTTTTTTCACATTCATTTAACGAAGTTTGAACCCGTTCCTTCAAAAAATAAGAACTGGCGGCCAAGGGCCCTGTTATAAAAGTGTTGTTGGCTGAATTCGTGAACGCGATGCTGTCCCCGGTCCGAACTCAAAAGGGTTTTGGACCGATTGGCCGCATATTAATTGGACGCGTATTGCAGGGGGAAATCTTGCCGAATGCGTAAGATGTCTGCCGGTATTTTACCATATGTTGCCTCCTTTCAGGCGTTTTTGCCACCTGAATGTCTTTGAATTTTGTACACACGGTAAATGTCTTACGGTGAAAGGCTGCCCAACATATCATGGTGGAGATTTTCTCCATAATACCAACGAAATTTGTCAAAATATCTACAAGGTACAGTGAATTCTCAATAGTATGTTATTAAGTCAGCTGCACCACCACAATATGGAACATTTTCACCATATTATGAAAAATCTTCCCTGTTCAACATGCTGTGCAACATTAACTGTGCAAAATTGCTCCTTATCGGGGTGATTAATTCTAGTTGTCACGAGACCGAAATTTTTTTTTCTGTTCGCAAGCGAATAATAACCGGCAAAAATAGCAGCCGCCCCCGCGCCACCTTTCCCTGTGTTGTCTCGAAGTGCCGCGGCCTCGCTGGCCCCTCGGAGCCTCTCTCGGGGTGTCGAAACCCGATAAGGAAGACAATGTAAAAGGAAAGCAGACGATCTGGAAAACAATCAACGCAATGAATGGCGGAATTGTATTATTTTCACCCGCCCCAAAAAAGAGAAGAGAATCGCTGAGGAGCACACAACACCCCGAAAGGGCAGACTGGCTTAGCGACCGCTGTGGCAGGGCAATGCACGCCACTGCAGATGCACAAACACGTCGATGGCCCCGCCCTGCTCCGCCCTGCTCCGCCCTGCTCTGCCCTACCCCGCCCTGCTCCGCCCTGCTCTGCCCTACCCCGCCCTGCTCCGCCCTGCTCCGCCCTCGAGGCGCCGCCAAGCAAGGCGGCACAGCAGCGCCCGCGGCGCCGCTCTCGAATTTCTCATACACTCTCACTCACTACGCACCGCCGGACCTAAACGACACAAACTTTGCGCTGGTGGAAACTGTGATGGGAAAAGTTTAGAGCCTGGCCATGCGGAGCGGCAGGTACACGCACGGCAGTCGGGGAGTGGTCAAGGCGCGCCGCCGGGGGGGGGGGGGGGGGGGGGGGGGGGGACTGCGAGCCGATCACTCCGCCAGTTATCCGCACTGACCTTATTAATTTCTAGCTGGGCTGTTCGGCTGGGCCTCACGCCCACAGCAACAAGGATCACCACGTACATCGGTGTCAACGCGCTCGGGGTCGCCGGCGGCGGCGGTCCCGGAGGTCACGGGACGAGGAACGCAAAGCAGCACGCCCTGGGGCTGCCTCCTCACAGCGGTCTCTCTCGCACCCACGCGGGGTGCTCTAAGCGCGCGAGAGAGACACAGAGCAGCCCAGAGCAGCCGAAGGGGTTTGGTGAAGGCGTTGTGGCCCCGATAACCGTGCTGCTTATTTCACGAGTTGGTGAACGAGGCCGGATTACACGCGGTGTAGTACGGCCGCCAGATAACGCGGCAGGCCTCGCCGTCACGGCGCCGCGGCGCCCAGGGCCCAGGGCGGCGACGACGTCCATGACGACGTCCATGACGACGTCCAGGGCGCATCCGCCCCGAGACGCCCTCCTGCGCGCCCGCCGCGTCCCGCGTCACGGACGGGGAGGAAGCGCGGTGCGTCAACGCTGATTGTGAATCACCTGATAAGGGATGCGATGGGCGGCGGCCTGGCCGCGGCGGCAGCGCGGCAAAGACAGGTGCGAACCGGCAGGTGCGCCTGCAGTGGCGCCTTTGGCGCCTTTCGTGCTGCAGCGGCCGAGGCCGACGCCGTGGCGCCGTGCCGCTGCCGTGATCGCGCCCTCGAGGAAATGACCGCACTTTGGCTTGGCCGTTTTGGATAACCGCAACAAAGCAAGACTTAAACAATGAAGTCATGTTTTTGTTTCACAGGGGCTGGCAAGCTGGAACGCAGGGCCAAAAAACACAATAGTTTCAAGTTGCGGAATCCTGTGTGACACGTGCGTGCAGGCCACCAAGCAAGAGAACGTCCAGTGCCTGCCTGTCTGAAGGATTGGCAAGGAAAGCGCTCTCCTCGACCTCGACCAGCCCCACAAAAATCGCCGCTCCAATCAAAATTGTTCCCCAATATTCGGCGCGCTACAATAATTTCGACTTTCTCTTCTCTTGAAAAAAAAAAATTGAAACAACTAACCGTGTTGATGTTATCGGCCTGACGTCAATGGGGTGCTTATCGAGTTCGAATTTAAGCCCGCTGCCTCCTCCGCGCTGCCCCGCGGTGTGGCCTGCGCTGGCCTGTGGCCCGCGCTCCGACTTGCCGCCAAAGTGATACATAATCGTGTCATTATGGGAGCCGAGGCGAGCCGAGGTGGCATCGGCCGTGCCGATCACGTGCGCACCACGCCGTTCCCGCCTTTTCTGTAGAGTCTGTCGGCCGTCTGCCCGGGCACGGCAGGGCAGGGCAGGGCAGGGCAGGGCAGGGCAGGGCACGGCAGGGCACGGCAGGGCACGGCAGAGCACGGCAGGGCACGGCGGCAGGGGCAGGGCATGGTACAGCAGGGCACGGCAGGGCACGGCAGGGCACGGCGGCAGGGGCAGGGCATGGTACAGCAGGGCACGGCAGGGCAGGGCACGGCACGGCAGGGCAGGGGCAGGCACGGCAGGGCACGGCAGGGCAGGGCAGGGCAGGGCAGGGCACGGCAGGGCACGGCAGGGCACGGCAGAGCACGGCAGGGCACGGCGGCAGGGGCAGGGCATGGTACAGCAGGCACGGCAGGGCACGGCAGGGCACGGCGGCAGGGGCAGGGCATGGTACAGCAGGGCACGGCAGGGGCAGGGCACGGCACGGCAGGGCAGGGGCAGGGCACGGCAGGGCACGGCAGGGCAGGGCAGGGCAGGGCACGGCAGGGCAGGGCAGGGCACGGCAGGGCACGGCAGAGCACGGCAGGGCACGGCGGCAGGGGCAGGGCATGGTACAGCAGGGCACGGCAGGGGCAGGGCACGGCACGGCAGGGCAGGGGCAGGGCATGGCACAGCAGGACACCGCAGGGGCAGGGCACGGCCGGGCAGGGCACGCCAGGGCACGGTATGGCAGGGGCAGGGCACGGCACGCCAGGGCAGGGCACGGTATGGCAGGAGCAGGGGAGGGCACGGCGCGGAACGGCAGCGCCCCCTCCCCAGCCGTACCTCCCGACCCGCCTTGTCAGTCATTCTCGCACTCCCCCCGCGAATCGCGTCTCGCGTCTCGCAGTGTGGGGAACGGGTTTCTGACGAAACCCCGGCGCGTCGTTGGCTCGTCCGATGAAGGAGAGATTAGGCGAGAGGAATCCCCTGCTCGCCAATTCTGGGCCTTCGTCGCGCTTCGGCGGCTTGGGCCTTTGGGCGTGTGACCCGCGCTAATAGGGCGGAGCGAGCACGTGCCGCGCACGAGGGCCTGCCCCGGCCTGCCCCGGCCCAGGCCGTCTCTCTCGCACCCCCAAGGGCCGCGCCGTGCGCCCCGAGTGCGAGGGAGACAACCGCCTCGCTTCGGAAGCAGCCCGCCACGGCCCGACCGGGGGACAGTTTGTGGAGTGTCGCCCAATTAACAGTGATAAGGTGCCCCGGCCGCGTGACAGGCTGAGCCGGGCTGAGAACTACGCACTTGTGGCGTCTTTTCCGAACCGATCGGCTCACTCGCAACCACGCGGAGATGTGGATGGTACAGTGTGGTCGTCGTCGTGGTTCGAACCGGCTTCGAAGTGTCCGATAGAGCAGGAGCACATCGAGACAAATGAAGGTTCACTGGGGATCAAATGAGCGGGAACATTCAAATGCTCCCTTTTTTGTAAGGCATGGCGTTTAATGCTGAAAGAAGTTAAATGTTGCTAAGATGCCTAGAAGGCAGTTGTGCGCATCGAAGCACGCATAGAAGTTGTTGCAGAGTGTTAAGATTGCGTCATGAAACTTTGGCCTTAATGAAAGTAGGACCCCCAGCGATAGCGCCTGCTGGGTAGGCAACAAGCAGTACACAAGCGTCCATAACCTCCAACTGCATAGCTTTTATTTGTTTCACGAGATGAAGTCCTAAAATTTTCAATGAATCCATGTTCCTGTAAGGCACGAATGCCAATAAATTCGTGGCGAGTCACAACCTCAGCTTAAATGGTAAATATATGGTAGGTAAGAAGTCGAAATTCAAGCTTCCCGCGAGATTGATCCCCAGTGAGTAGAGAACGTTCTGGGTCCTGTTTTGTACGTGGATAACCGGACAAATGATGGAACAAGGTGGTTCTGAGGTAAAGGACTATTTACTGTTAGACTATCGGTGACTCTACTTGAACTCTACTCTTACATGATACAACCGTTCCGTCTCCCTACATCTTCTCGCACCCTCCTACCTGCACCTCGGCTCGACCGCGACTGCCGGCCTGGACCATGGCGGACCCTAAGCCGCTCCGGGGACTTTCCGGGCATCCCTTCGCACAAGGCGGTGCTCGCAGGCATACCAACTTCAGACTTACTGGCGGCAACATGACAATATTCAAAATGTGTATTGCTACACAATAACCGCGCAGTGTAAAAAATTTTCGACCCGAAAATTAACAAAAACAAAATGGGTGAAAATAAGTGAAGAAAATCTAACTAGACGGAACGGGGTTTGAGTAGTTCAACAAAATACATAATTGTTTCTTACAAATGTTAAACATTGGGAAATATTACATGTTCTTCAGACAAAAATAGCACATCACATAGAAATTTGAGATCACAAGACGATACAAGAAATGGAATTAAACTTTGTTTGTGAAAGAAAATGAAGAAAACAGAGCACAATGTTGGTAAAAATTCACAGCTGACACGGACAAAGACAGTTACACCTCGTTTTAATGTTACTGTATCCATAGCACTTCAATTTTAAGTTGTATTTTCCTTTTTTAGTATTGTTTGTTATTGTTGTTGTACATTTATTTTTTTGGGGCAATTCAATCAGTTACAACTTTTCACTGAGATGCCTTCAACTTGCCAGGTATTAAGTCCTATCGGCAAAGTTTGGACAAGCCATACTACACCAACATGCGCGAACGCTGTGGTAGTAATAGACAGGCGAGTCTTATGATGTGTGACTTCAGACACACAAAGAATCCGCTATTTATGACACTGTAACTACGAAATGCAATCTGAATCCGAACCGTGACAACATGTAAACCCTCAACAACACGTACCTTCGCATCAAAAGATAAAACATTGCTTGCATATAGAATAAATTGACGATAAAATATTTCACTCTTCAAAATTACTCTCCAAAAACAAACTCATTGAAAATACACCAGGAAAAAATAAATAACTTCTTCACATCAAAAATAGAAAATCAATAAAAAGTCGAACTCAACTGACTGGAAACACATTTCTCACAACACACTTCAAAAGGAAAGAAAATAAGTAGGAAATAAATGAAAACTTCAGCTCATAAAGACACACACACACACACTTCAAGGAAAAAATGAAAGAATCAATTGTCGAACATTAGTAGTTCATAAGAGAAAAGAAAATAAGTCGATCTTTTTGCAAATTTGACACAAAATACAAAACAAACTCCATTAAACTCAAAACATTGATAACTAGATGCAAGATTTAATGTAAAAAACAAAGACAAAAGAATGAGATAGCGAAGACAAGATAAGACAGTTCGTTAATGCATTAACTTTAACCTAATGATACCTATAAAACTTTAATTAATGGTCGATCTCTTAAACTAAACTTATGCTAATATACTAATCTAGGTTGGCCAATTAAAACTAACTTAAAACTAAAATGATTGACACATCAATTAAAATAATGCGATTGCACTTCCGTATGGATGTAAAAACAAAACATTACAAAAATACTGAGACACAATCCAGAGACTTCAGACAAGGAAAAATGAGATTAAGACAAAAGAATTTACTGTACATCTTGCAAATAGAAAACAAAGTCTGGATTCAATTTAAGTCTATTAGGTCTTTTGATTAACTTCTTAAGGTGGGCAACATGACACAATCTATTCCAAGATTTACCATTTTGTTTACCAAAATTAACTACGTACAAAATATCAGACACTTGCTTCACAATCTTACCAACACGGAATCTCTTCTGCAACTTTATGGGATTCTTCTTCGAAGCTTTTCTTTCAAACCACACTAAAACTTGTTCATTTTTCACAAATTTGACACTTTTTCTGTTTTTATCATACACTTTCTTGAAATTGTCTCGCACTTTTTTCTTGATACCTTTAGCAGCTTCTCTGATGTTTTCCAAAACTTTAAGTCTACGTAACACAGACAACTTTTGTGGCAACAGTGATTTGTTCATGAAAGGAGTACTTAAACGTTTGCCATAAACAATCTCATTAGGAGATAACTTTGATTCAGCCAAGGGGGAATTATTCATATGGAATTTAACATATGGAAGGAATATATGCCATTGCTTTTTATTACTAAGTTTACCATTGATCAAAAACTTAAGTGTACTGGAAAATCTTTTCACTTGACTTTCTACTGCACCAACAGAAAAATGAGCACCACTAGCTGCACGTTGAAGTTTAAAGTTACACTTTTTAGCAAAATCAGTGAATTGAACACTCTTTGTAGCAGAACACGCATCAGAATACACTGTACTAGGAACACCCCATTCAGCAAATACTGTTTCTAAATGTTGTATTAACTCAATTGTTTTGGTACTTTTACAAGGAAATAAGGAACAGAAATTAGAAAATAGATCAACAACTATCAAACATTCAGAATAACCACGGACGCCATTAGTAAAGACATGACAGTAATCTATCATAACATCAGTGAAAATATTATTGGCTAAGCGAGGATGGAGTAAACCAAATTTTGATTAGAAGCTTTGAACTCTCCGCACGTCAAACAGGACTTTACATAAGTTTCTATATCTTTATACATGTTGGTCCAGAAATAAAATTTAGAAATTGAATTAAGCATGATTCGTATACCTGAATGCATACACAAATCGTGGAATTCATTCAAAACAAACGGAACCAACTTTGAAGGCACAACTGTACGTTCGACCTTTGTATTTGTAACTAACAGACCTCTAGAAATTTTAAATTTGGGAACATGATTTAACTTGTCATCTGCCATTAATTGCTGTTGCAGAACTCTATTATACAACTTGCTTAAAACTGGATCTTCACATTGATACTTTATGAAAGTTTTATGAATTGGAAGACTATTGAAAAGTTGTAAATCTAAATCCAAAGGATTGACACTAGAACTTTTTAAACCAGACCGAAGTTTAGCTCTTATTTGCATAAGAAAGGCACCAAACAAATTAAGGCCATCAGGACACTGTCCACACAAACAATAGCCAAAAGTAGTATCATGATCATTATTATTAAATGCCAAAAATTTTAAACCAGTATCCAATAATAAAATTGCAAGATCGTGATTTTGGAGAAATTTAAGATAAACCAAATTCTGCATAATTGAGAGCTTTTCATCGTCAAAGTCTGGACGAGACACGATCTCAGACCCACGAAGTTTAGCTATAGAAGCAGTAGGAGCAGAAGCAACATAATTATGATCTTCCTCATTAGTGGCTTTTAATGATTCAAAAGCATGATCAACGGACATATAAGTGTTATCATGAACAGTAATGACGCAAGGAAAAGAATTATTTAGAAAAGTATAACAACCAACAAAATCAGAAATAGTGGGTTCATTTGGGTCCCACAATTCATTGAAAACTTCTTCAGAAATGGAATCAGAGGGAACAGAAGAACCTTGAGGAGGAATTTCATCTTGATTAGACGCAGAGGAAAGAGAAACAGAAGGTTCCTGAACGGTTACGTTCGGGACAGCAGAAACATTAGGCTGAGCTTTATTAGAAACGACTTTAGAATTTTTAGAGTTTGGATTGGTAACTTGTACTTTTCCTTTACGTAGTAACTGACGTATCTGCATTAATTGAAGACTAAAATAAATAGGAAACTCATAACTATTTTGAGCAGGTAAAAATATGGGACGCATCCCAGTAGAAAGCAACAAAGTTTTCAAAGCAGAATTATAGGAAAATTTGGAAATAAGCAATTTATCTAGGACGTCAAGATATTCTTCTTTCCATCCAACACCAAACTGAATATTAAGATCGTTTAAAGCATCAGAAATGGATGCATAATTCTTACTGTCGTAGGAAACTACACATGGAAAATCATTACTCAAAAATTCAAACTGACCTGTATCAGAAGAGATAGGCTCTAACTTCGGATCAAAAAGATAGTGATTAGTATTAGGGTAGTCAAGTATAGCATGAGGATTTCTGCTAGGAAAACAGAGAGTGGGATCCGAGAAAATATGAGAGGGCGAAACACGACCACAATCATAAGTAGGATGGGGAGAGGGGGAAGGGGGCAAAGCAGGGGGAACCACCGAAGAAACAAAGCGGTTGGTAACACTGGAAGTATCAGGAGGTGGGTTGGCAGCACTGTCAGTTAATTTCTTCATAGCTCGAGTTTGAACCTGTAGGAGATGATTATTAGGTAGAGAAACAGAAGGAAGATAATCGTTAAATGAGCACGAGGCTGTACGGAACACACTCGCACCTGAAGATTTATTATTCTGAACTGGAGTAAAATAAGTTGTTAAATTTGGAGGCAAAACAACATCACAACCGGCTGGGGGCTGGGGCAACCGAGAAAGAGCATCAGGAATTTTATTTCTTTCGGAAGGAACCAATTCGTAATCAAACGAAAATTTAGATAAATATGCAATAAATTTGTCAAAGGGCGCTTTAGGAGCTTGCATTTGAAGTAAATACTTTAGAGAACTAGCATCAGTAACAACAGTAAATTTTTCTAGAAGTAGTAACTCTTTTTCAAAATAACGAACACATTCATACAAAGCCAAACATTCAATATGATAAGCACTCCACGTTCTTTGAGAAACTTTTAAATCCTTAGAGAAAAATCCAACCGGTAAAAAGTATTTATTTTTAGCTTGAGACAAGAAACCACCAATACCAACTTTAGAACCATCAACATGTAACTTAGTTTTTAAGGCAGGGTTAAAAAGACTCAATGTAGCATGTTTAAGCAAATGATTATACATATCTTGAATCATCTGTCTGTCAGCTTCGGACCAAGAGAAAGGGACTTTCTCACAAGCAATTTCATTCATGTGTTTAGTTTTTAATGCAAAATTGGGAATAAAACGACGGAAATAAGAAAGAAAACAAATGGAAGACTTAACTTGTTTAGGTGTTTTAGGGTTATCTAATGAAAGTAAAGGGCGAAATCTGCTTGGATCTGGACTAACACTGGAACCACCAGCAACTTTCATACCTAATAAAGAAATGGACTTTTGAAATAACTCAGTTTTATCAGGTCTCATCAAAAGATTATTAGATCTGAAACGCTTTAACACTGATTCAAACACAGACAGGGCTTCATCAAAAGTCTTACCACCCATAACAATATCATCAACATAATGTTTCACGTCCAAACCTTGCAAAACAGAAGCCATTGTGGCTTGAGCAATTTGAGGGGAAGTTTTTAAACCAAAGGGAAGGCGAAGAAATTTATAACGTCGCTGGCCTACTTGGAAACCTAGTAAATCTGTGGATTCAGGGGTTAAACGAATTGTATGGAAGTAACTTACAACATCACCAACGGACAAATATTTCTTATCAGCACAATATTGCAAACACTCATCAATAGTAGTCTGTTTAAATTTATATTCATGAAGTTTCCTGTTAAGAGCACGAGCATCAAGAAGCAAACGACCAACAGGATTTTCTACAGTGGAACCACGTTTCAAAATAATAAAAACAGGCAAAAAATTATTAGTAAAAGACTCAGTTATAACTCCCTCATTAAGTAGCTTTTGCACCTGTATTTCGGCTAATTTCTGCTGCTCCAAACTCCACGGCCAATTCTTTTTAAAATAATTACCAGACTCTTTTAATTCAAGATTTGCAAAGATATTGGGAACAAAGGAACCAGGCTTCAGTTTATACCCGAAAACATCTCTATATTTCTCTAGAACTGAACGGACTTGCAATTTTTCATCTTTAGACAGATTACAACCGGAAACAGAAGGAAGGGCAGGACGGTCGTCCTCTTTGGCAACACTACACTGTTCAACACATTGAACTTGTTCAGGAGTTAGATCAAGGCAACCATTAGAAAGATTATGAATTAAAGAATTTAAATCGAAACGAGAGATATCATTACTGGATAAATTTCTGTCCTCAAAACAAATGGAACCAAGTTTAGTGGAAGGGGGTAACTCTATTGGGTCGTCTGAACCATTGAAAACTGGAACGGACATTGTATCGGAAAGAAAACACTCAACTGTGTAAAGATAATCAACGCCAAGAATTGTTTTGGGAGTTAAAACAGCGGGTAAAACTTTAGAAGGAAAATTGACATAAACTGGAACTGTAGTGAAAGTTTGAGGAGCCAAAGTAACTACTTTAGGGGAAGAGAATACCTGGATATTGGAAGTATGTGCTTCAGGCACATTAATCAGAGAGAGGCGAGTACACTCATCAAAATGACAAGGAGGGGGAGGGGAAAGGAGAGGGGGAGCAAAGTGTTTGGGAAGAACAGCCAATCGGACAACAGTAACAGATTTACCACGGAAATGGAAAACAGCTTCATGAGAACCATAAGATAAATTTGCTTTAACCTTACTGAGAAAATCATCACCCAAAATTAGATCAACACTTATCTCTGCAACCAACAAAGGGTGATTGAGAGTGAAATCAGAACCAAAACGAAGAGATGGGTTGTACACACCATCACACTGCATTATATTATTATTAGCTACTTGAATAAGCATATCAGTTGGCTTTAGGGCACTTCTATCCGTGCAAAATTTAGAGTGGATAATGGAACGAGAAGCAGCGGTATCCAAATGACCGCGTAATTTGAGACCATCGACATAAACAGTCACAGGAAATAATTTATAATCAATGTACATTAAATTAACTAATTCAACTTTCTTAGAACATGAAGCAACTTTCTCTGGAACAAAAGGGGCTGCAAGGGGATTAAGATGCACAGGGGCTGCAACAGGAATGGGAACAGGGGCTGGAACAGGGGCTAGAACAGGAGAAGGGGGTGGAACTGTGACGTCACACTTTACAACAGGATCTGCAATCGGGATCTTCTTTCCTTTCCGACCGACTTCAAACCACTGATTACCGCTTTTCGTACTGAGTTCAACAGGATTATCTTGAACCACATTCAAATGCCAAGAAGATGTTGATACATTAGAGGGCAATAAACAATCAAAATGACCAGAGTCATACGGAGGAGTAAATTTAAGGTGAATCTCAGATGGACCTCCAGAATATGGAGCAAGCTTGAAAGGATTGAAAGTTAAAATCCCAGAAGGGGTATGGACAAAAATAGGAATGCCAAGACAGGACGATGCTGCCTGGACTTGTATGGAGGTGGCAAACACACCTGGTTTGACATGCTGTGAAAGAAACTGAAACTTTGACAAAGTGGTAAATTTACTGAAAAATTTCCAATATTGGAAAATGTAATTTTGGACTATCTGTCTTAATGCAAAAGAACCATTTAAAGAACGAAACAAGGCAAAACTAACAGCAGAATAAAAGCAATCACCATCTTTAGGCATGGAATGCAAGTCAAAATTCTCATATTTCTTGACTGTAGAATTTTTCATACAAGGATCAGAAGTAACACTGGACTTACTTTGTTCTGGGACACTCTGCGGCACTACACTGTGAAAACTGGGCAACACTTTTGGTTTTGACTGTACCTTTGAATTTCTCATACACGGCGTCTGCAGCGTCTCGGAGTATGACGTCACTACACGTGGTGCGGGGAGCGCCACACGCGATGGAGGAGGGGGGAGGGGAGGGGGATACACTTCAAATCCATGCCCACGAACATATGGATCGGGGGACGCAGGGTACACTGCAAACTGGGAAGGCTGATATGGGTAAAAGTTTCCGGACTTTTCACGAAAACCGTTGTTTGGCCGCCTAGAGTGAGATTGGCTCTGGTAATGATCGATCAGGTAGGTAAGGGCAGCGTCAAGCTGGGCAAGGGACTCACGGTCGGACGCGGCGCGCGCGGGAATTTCCGCGGGACTGGCGCTGCGGCCACTGGGTGCGCCCAGGGCGGGAACCCCAGGATTAGCGCCGGCAGCAGAGGCTGCGCGAGGCAAGGACTTTTCCACAAGAGCTTTCTGATGCATAACAGTCTCAAAAGTTTTAACAAAATCTAAAATAGAAGAGCAAGGATGGCGTGCCATGATCGCGGCATGTTCACGGGACATTAATTGCAATAGTAATAAACAAATTTCACGCTCGGGAAACACAGATTTGTAGTGACGCACGGCGTGCTGGACTCGAAAAGCAAAGCTACGGAGAGACTCATCTTCTCCTCGTTTCATGTTCAACACACGTTCTCTAGTAGAATCATAGCATGGTTCAACATCAAACGCTAATTTAAAAGCAGCAACATAGGCATTCCAACCTTTGTTTTTATTTTCTGCATGGCAAGGCAACGCGCACTCTGGTAACTTAGACGCGATGTACACTGGAATATCATTACGATCGACGCCAAATTTAGTATAAATTTCTTCAACATTATTCAACCATTCTTCCACATAATCCTGATCAAACGGCAAAAGCGTTGGCTGAAGAGACGGAGGCAAAGCAAGAGCCATAGTGAAACTTGGAAACTAAGTAGACACGCTCGAAAAGTAAACACGTGGTCAAGTAACACGACCGAAAAAACAGACAAATATTCCACAATTCCACGGCACAAGAAACAAAATCACACGCAAAATACACTTCACTTCAAGAGAAATATCACTGCTGAAAAAGAAAAAGTAACTCACACGGAGAAGTAACTAACCTCCAAAACACGTGGTCTCAGTAAACAACACAAAAAATTACATTACAACAACCCGAGAAAGAAAAAGGGAAACCAAATTAGAAATAAAATATACAAAAAGGAAAGGAAAGTTAAAATATGCCTAAAAGCGGCGAGAAAGAAAAATCTTGAGTCACGGCCGAAATCCACAGCATGGTATAAAATAAACAAAGTAGCGCACAGAGAAATAAAAAGAATGCAAAGTTCGAACCGGCCGATGCACCAAAAAGGATGTTTTGTACGTGGATAACTGGACAAATGATGGAACAAGGTGGTTCTGAGGTAAAGGACTATTTACTGTTAGACTATCGGTGACTCTACTTGAACTCTACTCTTACATGATACAACCGTTCCGTCTCCCTACATCTTCTCGCACCCTCCTACCTGCACCTCGGCTCGACCGCGACTGCCGGCCTGGACCATGGCGGACCCTAAGCCGCTCCGGGGACTTTCCGGGCATCCCTTCGCACAAGGCGGTGCTCGCAGGCATACCAACTTCAGACTTACTGGCGGCAACATGACAATATTCAAAATGTGTATTGCTACACAATAGTCCCATCACCGCTAGTGACTTCCCAGATCGCATCTGCTCCTGCTCTATCGACTTTGGAATTCGACGGCTTCGAAAATAATACGCGCAACTCCGGCCGCCGCTTACAACTAGAGTAACTGGCGGCCGCGCTGAGAACCCGCGTATCGCTTCCCGGCGGCGTCCGCGCTAGGTTATGTTTGACAAGTTATATCTCCTAAACCGTTAGAGTTAGATGGGTAGTGTAAGCGAGCCGATTTTAGTTCTAACTTAGATCTACAATCGGCTCGCTTACACTACCCATCTAACTCTAACGGTTTAGGAGAAATAACTTGTCAAACATAACCTAGCGCGGACGCCGCCGGGAAGCGATGCGCGGGTTCTCAGCGCGGCCGCCAGTTACTCTAGTTGTAAGCGGCGGCCGGAGTTGCGCGTATTATTTTCGGAGCCGTCGAATTGGTGCCGCGACTTGCCCACAGCCCACAGACGGCAACGTCAGGGGTTACCACCCACTCGTGGCGCTATCGCTTATCGCCTGTCAGCGATAGCGGGCCGACGTGTTATCAAATCAGTGTGACAGATTGGCGGCTGCCGGTAGATAGACTGCCTGCTCCAGGGTCAGCACGCTCACTGCACTGCACAGTCAAGGAGGCGGCGCCGGCCGTCACACCTCATTTATTAGTGGGGACGCTCGCCAATTTGCGCGGGAGACCGAAAGAAAAACAACAAAAACGAAGGCAGGGCTCATCGGCCTCGGTGACGTGTGCCCGGGTCCGGCCGTCCGGCCTCCTGGAGTGGGGGAGTGGTCCGGCCTCCGGATTCACTTTCAGTCCCACCGTGCGGCGTCCTACTGCACCAGCCTTTGCCCAGAAAGAAGAAATTCTGAAAATCATTATTTTTCAGTCGCAGGGACTCGCTGGACCACTCGCCACATTTCGTAGACATGATAGAAGAGTCGATCCAGGAAAACTTCACACTTGAATCACCGGCAAAAAGTGGGCAAAATGTGAGACCAATATTTGCAAAGAAAGAAAATCTTACACATTTCCGCAATCTGCGTGTTCAACGCAAAATTCCAAACCTGGGGACTTTTTTTTTCCTCAACGACGAAAAGAAACGACAAAGAAAGGCTGAGCGTGCTAAATGTTGTAAACACGCCATCATGCGTACATTTGGGTGGGAGTGGACCGGCGGCGTCGCCCGCGGCGTGGGGTGCCCGGCGAGCGACCAGGTGAGCAGCAGCAGGGCTCTTTGAGCACGCAGACCTGCCGAAACAAGCCGAAGCAAGCCGAAGCAAGGCGACAGAAGGTTTCGCGTCGCGGAGGTAGCGGCCTCGTCACGGCCATTTCGACATGTTCCCGGATTTGCCCGCCGCCGTCACCCAAAAGCCCCGCATTGCGCGCGCCAAACACGGCCACCTTGCTTGCTTCCTCTCCAAGCGGACATGATCGCAGGATGCCGTATCTCGTGCACGAGGGACGAGGCTGACCCGTAGAGCAAGTCTAATTTCTGACTAAGCATCTGCCGGGTCCGCGGTACAGCACCCCGCCGCTGGGATGACGGCACCCAAACATCATCGGCGTGCTTGATAAGCGTCCGGAACCGCGCTGCCCGGCGCTGCGGCCACGCCGGCCTAGGGCGACGCCGCTAGGGCCCGGCGAGTACACTCGCTTCTCGCGAGAGTTTCATCAGAAACCTGTTCCAGTTCTTTCAAGGGAAGTCGACTCAAGTTGACGCGCATGACAGGTGGCGTCCCCGCCGTCGCCCCTCCCCCCGCGCGCCACCGGTCACCTCACAGACGGAGCGAGTGCGTGCCGCCCGTGCGGCCCGTGCGGGCCTCGGGTCGTGAACCGACCTCGAGGAAATTCGGCTAGTCGTCAGTGGGTCAGCCTGTTGCTGAGTGAGTGGGTGCCAGCGAGCCACAGCCACCCACTGCCTCCGCGTCCGCGCGCACACGGACGCACGCACACACGCACACACAGCCAGCCGCACGACGCACGAGATGAGAAAGCGTTCAACAAACTCGCTGCGTCTTCTTTTTGGGATCACTTAGAGGGCAGCACTTTGACCTTCCCGCTCCCACCCGCCCCCGCCGCCACCCGGCTCGTCTAGGCTGGTCGCGCTGGTCGCCACGCGCAGCGCAACGCATCGTCAAAGTTCGTCGCACAGATGGACGCCGCCACGGCGAAACATCGTTTTTATCGCAATGCACCGCCGCGGAGATTTTCCTCTTGAAAACAGATAGTTTCGAGGCCAATCAGGCAATCTGCTCTGGTCTAGGTTGGGCCTGCTTCCGCCTCGGCCCTGCAGCCCTGCCGTCGCCTCGCCTCGCCTCGCCAGGCACAGCCGGGCACACGGCACTTCAGGGGCTGGGCGGCGACGACGGGACGCCACGGCCTCCTCCCCTTGCCCGTCGTCCGCCTGCCGTCTCGTGTCCGTCTACGTCCGTCTCTCCGTCTGTCCGTCTGTCCGTCTGTCTGTCTGTCTGTCCGTGGCGTCGCGTGGTCTGAGTCGGCAGCGCGCGTGGCGCAGCGCTTGACCCCGCCGCGCATCTCCCCCTCCCCCCTCCCCCCCCCCTTGCCACGAGTCGGCTGCTAGGCCCCAGCCACTTTTGCCAATTTTAGCGAGAGATAAGCGCGTGTGTGATGTCGTGCGGAACCGCCACCGGAACAACGCCGACACAAGCAGTTTTCCGCAGTCCGTTCAGGAAGACCACTTCCTTGAGCGGTGCTCCAAAAGCGCGTATAATCGGACGGAAAACGCTAATCAATAGACCTGAAAAAAGAACTGCCCCCAAAAGAGGGAAAAGATACGTAAACGACGGACGGAGACAAAGTCTAACTGTACGGGACACGTGGCTGTGTTGATAAAACAACAGAGAGAGGCGGCGGCGCGGCGGCAACATGGCACACGCCGGGGATGACTTCATCTCCTGAGGAAACAATTCTATCGCCAGTTCGGTGTGAACATTCTGCTGACGAGGTGCTGATAGGCGCATCTGCAATAAATACAATGCGGCGACGCCCTCCCCTGAGGAGGCGGATGGCGATTGTTTGAAATGCATCGTTCTAAATGTGAAACGGATTACAACACCGACTGTTTGTGGGCCCATCGAGGTTGGCATCGGTGGTGATTGTCTGTCGTTAAGCCGACGAAACACGATGACGACCGGCCCACTGTGGAGTGGTTGACGGAACGCCAGGCAGAAGAAAGGAACGAAACATGGCCGCCGTCGACGGCTGTTCTGATCAACTACGAGCCTCCGAGCATGGCCGCCGGTCATGTTCTGAAACATTGCTTCCTTTCTGCTCCTTGTCTAAAGTTAGCTCAGCTCGGGACGTTAGGCCAGGTTTGTTAAGGTACGGTTATGTTTGATTTGGGTTATGGTTGGCTATGTTTGGTTATGTTTGGTTATGTTTGGTTATGTTTGGTTGTGTTTGGTTGTGTTTGGGTATGTTTGGTTATGTTTGGTCATGCTTTGATTAGGTTGTGCGGTTAGGTTAGGGCACTGCGAGTCCTGCCGGCAAGCACGGCCCTTGTTTGAGGGACGGCTTGCTGCACGGCACGTGAGCGTGCGTGGGACGCAGCGACACAAAAGCGCCCGCCGCGCCCACCTGGCCGGCCACATTAATTGCAAATCGCCGCCTAATCCCTCTTCTTTGAAGCGCCGCGGAGCCGTGCGTGGCGCTTCATCATGGCGTGGTGTAATTGCGGTAAGGGCTGCACGTCGCTTCTTTTTCTTTTCCTCGGCCACGGTTTTGCTTCCGACCCTGGACACGTCCGTCGATTCCTCATCCGGGCCTAGCCCGGCCCTAGCCCGGCCCTAGGGGGTGCGCTGGGGAGGAGTCGGCGTGGCCGGGGCGGCCCTCTCACCCTCCGCAGCATTCCTAGCCGTGCACAAACACACGGGGCAGCCAGCCCGCCCTGGCGCCCTCTGCGAGGGCCTCTGCATGCCGTCGAGCGCGTCCAGCGCGTCCAGGCTCTTCGGCTCGGCGTTCGCCGCCGACTTGCGCAACGATCCCTACATTACGCCGAGTCATCGCGCAGGCCGGCGGCGACGCCAGGACGCCGACAGTCCAACAGGCCAACGATTGCCTCCTGTTGCACGGCGCGGCCGGGCGGCGCGGCGCGGCGGGGAGGGCCAGGCCAGTTTCCGACAAAACCTCTTCCATCTCGTGGAGGGCGACAGTTGCGAGAAGAGTCCGCGGCAGGTTCACTGGCCACTGCCTCTGCGATACCGAGACCACTGAGTCACGTGTCGCATTCCGGCAGCCGCACGGCAGCCAGGCCATTAGCATCGCACACACTGCCAAAGCGCTATCGCCGGCGTCTGCACGCCGCTCTTTATCGATTCCGCGCGATATCGTGTCGATTTTACGTCGATATGTCGGTCAAGTGTCGCGCCTTTGTGACGTCCACGGCGATCGTTTGTGGCGGCTGCTAACCCCAAAACTACTGTGAGTGTACGACGATTTTCTGGTCGGAATTCGCGCCGATTTGATGCTGACGAAGTTGAACCTAACTTATTTAACCTCACCGACGTTGAGCGAGACTCACACAAAGAGGAAGGATACGGCAACTGTCGCTGAAAAGGCCTGGATTTGCGCGAATTTCGCAGATTGTCCACATAGAGCGGCCGAAAAATTGACGTTGCTCAAAGAGCTCGATGGATTTCAAATCGACCGCCTTTGAAACGACGCGTCGATGAGATGTTCTCTAGCCATAGCCAGGCCAATGCACTCAAAAGCCAAGACTCGTCAGCAGCTCATTTCTTTTCCTTTTCTTTTCCTTCGGGGCGGGGCGCAGGTTCATTGAGGCATTAATATTGGAATGGGGCTCCGTGCGGCCCCCCGTCGTGTTTCGCCGCAGGCCCACTAAATCAGTCACACGAGTGTCAGCTTCCGAAAACGGCCACCCGTTCGCAGAAGCGCCGTTGTCCGTCCGACCGTCCTCCGTCCGGTTGGCGCGCTGGCGCGCTCTGCTCGGCGAGTTCGGGTCCGGAGCTCCGGTCCCACAGCCTCCGGGCCCGGCCGGGCCGTCGGGCCGCTCCGGGTCCGCCGCGCCGCCTCGCCGCCATTCAGGGCGGCATTGTTCTCCGGGCTGAGTAATACGCCAATGAGTCGCGGCACGCGCCGCGCCCGGACGGACACCTTCGGCTCGCCGTCGGCTGTCTTCGGCTGTCGCGGATGACGTCACGAAGCGGACGTTGCGTCCCGGCATGTCCCAAAGTCAGTGTGTCCAGCCGGAACGCCCCGCCCCGGCGGTCCCGCGGTCCGCACCGGGACCTTTCTGTACTTTGACCGACCGCCTCGAAGCAGCCTTATTGCTTGGACACACACTCACGGACTCACACCAGCACACCGCCATGCACACACTCGAGTGGTGTGGGGCACGCCAAGATATTACGCAACGTTACGCTCTTGAACTCGGCCTCACAGGGCCTGGGCGTCCTTCGTGACGTCACGGGATGTAAAGGAGCTGAGGGGGCCCTGCGCCGCACGGCCGCCGCCTGAGACTTCTAAACTAAAGATGTGCTAATTGGGTCCCAATTATTGCCGACTGCCGGTTTGTTTACTATCATCCATCATTATTTGGCAATCGCGGAGTTCGGAAATCGGTCGCGTATATGAACGCGGAAAATTCGGTTCGAATTCCGGAGACCCTTTGCGCGGGTCGGTCGAACCCCTATCTTGTGGCTGAAGGGCTGCAGGGCTGCAGGGCTGCAGGTGGGTCCGGGCCGACGAGAGGGCGAGACAGGGGCGGCGCGGAGGCGTGGGCAGGCGGGGCGTTGTTGCAGGTTGTGCATCTTCTCCCCCGCCACGCCGCCCTCCCCCGCCTCCCTCGTTCGCAGCAGGCCGATGACGAGCTTTCTCGAACTGGCGCAGCGCTCCGCCAGCACTGCCAACCAGCGCCATCCAAGGCCGGCTCCGGACTTGCCGCCAACGGGGACCGCTTTGGCGCGCCGTCCTGCAGCTTGCCGTGCAGCTTGTGCAGCTTGTGCAGCAGTGCAGCAGTGCAGCTTGTGCAGCAGTGCAGCTTGTGCAGCAGTGCAGCAGTGGAGCTTTGTGGAGCTGATGCAGTGCAGCTTGTGGAGCTTGTGCAGCTTGTAGAGCTTGTGCACCTTGTGCAGCTTAGGCAGCTTGTGCACCTTGTGCACCTTGTGCACCTTGTGCACCTTGTGCACCTTCTGAAGCTAAAGTGAAGAGCCCGCCAGGTCAGGGTGGAGAAGGCTCCCCGGGTTCGCGCCGACCGCTCCGTCCGCGCCCAGCCAGGGCCCAGGGCGGCCAGGGTCCACGCCGCGGTCCACGCCCCCTCACCATGACCGTCACGTGGGTTAAGCCCACGTTCATTCATGAAGCCCCGTACGGCCCGTACGGCGTGCGCCAATACGACGCCGAGGAGGAGGCCGACGAGTGGAGGGGGCCGGTACGAATTTCTCACGCAAGAGGACCCCCCTCCCCCTACCCGTTTCGCCAGCTCACTCGGACCAAACGGACTTCACCTCTGCCCCTCTCTCCCTTGGCGCCCCCTCCCTGCGTCCCCCGCGGCCCCTCGCCGCCCCCTCCCCGTCCCCTCCCCGGGCGCGGCGCCCCGCACGGTATAAAAGCAGAGCGCGCCTCGGCACGGCCAACACTTTTTGACGAGCCTTGAAAGCAGCACGACGTATCCCGCGATACCCGATCGAGCCGCACTGAGTCGCGTCGCCGCGTTGCGTACAGCAAAGCTTATCTCTCGTTCCTGACCCGCGATCGACGAGTTTCGAGTCCCGCCGACGTCGCCGCGCCGCGAGTGACAGTAGCAGATAGAGTGGACCGAGCAGCCCCGCGCCGCTCCTCAAGGATTACTCTGTGTCAAGTGCCCAACAAGTCCATCATGAAGTCCAGCAGCCTGGTGCTCGTGAGCGCCCTCGTCTTCGTGCTGGTGGCGCCCGTCGTCTTCGCTCGCCCCCCGCACAGGTAAGCACCGCCACGGTGGAGGCAAACTCATCGGCGCCCGCGCGGTTTCCGCGTTGCGTCCTCAAAATGGCGTCCGCGCTCGGTACCCGCCCAGGCCCAGCCGCAGGTCGCAGACGAGTGTCAACGTCGTCCTGCTTCTTTCTGTTAAAACAAATTGTCCTCTGAGCCGCGCGCCTCGGCGAGGGAAATGAGAAACAAGTCCGGCAACGGGTTGGTCCCAATTTCCGGCCGAGCGGCTGGACCGGAAATCGCGACCCGCGGCACCGTCCGCGCGTCTTCCGCCCTTTCTTCCGCGACGGCCGTGCCCCGTGCCTGTCTTGTCCGCGGGGGCGGGCGCGGCGGGCGACACGGACCGCGTACGCGAGCGGGGGCGGCTGGCGGCGCGCCCCGCCCTGGCGGAGTCCTGGCGGAGTCCTGGCGGGGCGGGCCTGGCCGCCTCCAACTTGATTACCGAGTTGGCGGGGGCGGCAGGGCGGCAGGGCGGCCAGCTCCGGGAAGAAGGCGTGATGCATGGAGAGCGGCCGTTATCGCTGTTTAACAGCAGTTGTTGGGCACCAAGGCTGGGGAGTCGCAGTCAACGCCGCCCTCTCGCCCCTGCCCGCTCGGCGCCAATCGAGCTATTGGGCCAATTAAAGATGGCGGTGGCGTTCATTTGGGCGGCCGCCCCGCTGATTTGGCGAAGGGCTGTGACGCGTGCCGTGCGTAATACGCCGAACAGGGCTTTGTCCGGCCCTTGAATGGCGACCGTGGCCGCGACTGTGGCGGTGGCAGTGAGACAAAAGGCTTCATGCCCTACTCGGGCGTAGCTGGGCGTAGCCAGCAAGCGTGTTGCCCTGCGGAGCCATCGCCCCGTCTCTCTCGCACTCACGGCAGCAGTGCCGTGGGCGCGAGAGAGACGAGGCGACGCCAGCACCCCTCGGACTCGCTCTGCAGACGGACGGTCACGCGGCTCGTCCCTCATTTTTCGGTCGGACCGCGGGACGCGGAGGGACGCCATCAGAGGCGGGCGAAATGCCGACGACTCGCTGTTTGAATTCGCTTAAAATGGGTCGAGTCCTGCCGCACTTTGGAGCCGATGCCGCTCTGTTTGAGAGTCGCGGCCCAGCGTATCTGGCCGGGCCGGAATGTTGATCAAAGTCATCCAGGTCCGGGTGAGGCGGGGCGGGGCGGGGCGGGGTGGGGCGGGCGCGCTTCTTCGTCTTTGCTGTTTGGCCCGAGACGCCACGCCGCGCAACGCAAGCACGGCCGAGGCAATACTGCAATGGGCTTCCCTTCCGAGACAAACAGCCCTGTAATTTGGCGCCTCGACTTACTCCTCCTAACGCCAGGTGTTCTTGTTGTGCTCCACAGGCAGAAGCGCGTGTCGGACCAGCGCCTGGGCGAGCTGGAGGCGCTGCTGGCCCTCAAGAAGCTGCGCGGCAAGCTGGTGACGGTGCCCGTGGCCTTCGGCCAGATCAACCCGAACGACTAGTGAGTAGCGCCATTACCAGGCCGATGACAGGCCACCGTCCTTTGCGCTGCAGGGGCGGCGGGTTAACTAGTGTAAAACGAAGCGCCGGTCCCGGTAAACGGACCCCCTCTCCCTTTGGCGCCAGTCAATGTCAACGGAGCGCCGCGTTGGAAAAAGAACGAAAACCTCAATCTGCCTAATTTCACGCGTCTGCGACTCGCCACTGTGTGAGGCGAGTGTTCTATTCTGGGTAACCCCCTTTTGAGTGGAAATTGTGCCGCCAAAGTGCCCCACTGCCCTTCAGAGTAGTGACCAGGGGATGGACTCGGGGGCGGACAGAGGCACAGCCAGCCGCAGCAAAGCGGTTCCGAAGTGCTGTCGCCGCTCTGTCTCCCTCGCACTCGTGGCCGGACGCCCTACGTGTGCGAGGGAGACAGAGCGGCGAAAGCAGTGTTCGGAACCGCCTCGCCTGCCGGCGGCCCGGGCCCCGGGGTCGCCGTGAGAGGTAGGCCTCCGGGCGCTCGGCGGTGCAGGCGCGTAGCGTCGCGCCCGGGCGGCTTGCCGGGCCGGTCCGGCAGTCCGGCGGCCCGGCTCCCGGATTCCCGCCTGATTGGCTGACGGTCAAGTGCACTAGAAACCGAAAGGCATGCCTGGACCTGCTCGACGCTAACCACGCCCTCTCCCTCTCGTTGCAGTGGTCGGAAACGGAGGTCAGCTCCGCACAGCCCCTCCAGCCACGTGCTGCTGGAGCGGCTGCTGGAGGCCCTGCCGCAGGACGACGTCCACGACGCGCTGGGCCTGGAGCGCCTGGACCGCCTGGAGTACGACGAGGCGGCCCCCGCGGCCCTGGAGGCGCTGCAGGCGATGCCCATCGCCAGCGCCTACGAACGAGAACGACCGGCAGCGGTAAGTTGGGGACCCGGGTTCGAACACCCGCCATTTTTCGGGGGAAAGGTTTTCTGATTTTTGGCTTTCTTTGTGGTTCCAGGCGTTGAACGCGTTCAACCGACCGCTGGCGGAGTGATGACGCTAGCAGCATCTCGACGCGCCCCGCGCCACGCCACGCCACGCCCCCCGCGCCCCGCGCCCCTGCGGCGCCCCGACATGAACGCCATGAACGGGGTGTCCGCCCGCCACGCACCGCCACGCACCGCCGCCGAGGCCGAGCTGCCCCAAAGGGACGCCGCTGCCGTTTCTTCGCTGTCCGGCAACCCCTTCGTACTTAAACTACTTCCCTAGGCGGCTTTGTGTCTTTGCCGACGCCCTGTCCGGCGTGGCCACCGAGTCCTCCCGCGCAAGTCCTCCAACGGCTGGCTCACATATCTGCCAAGAGATGATTGCTTTAGCGTATTCGGGCCGCCCCAGCCGTCTCACGCGCCCGCAGCCCCGCGCAGCCCGCACCGGCTGGGGAGGCCCTCGTAGGTGTAAAAACACGACCGCTTCCCCCTCATGTCTCTCTCTCTCTAGCTAGACTGCATTTTATTGTTCAAGATTAGTTTGAAAAGAGGAAAGGATCACATGGTTGTGTTTTTTATCTTACCAAAGTCACACCAAACTCTCGTTCCTATAATTTATGGTCTTTTATTGTTTTATTTATGTTATGATTTTCCCTGTGTGTGATGGGTTCAGTGCCACGGCGAAATCGTTTTGATTTGCTCTCATTGAATGTGTTGTGTTCGTACAAACTTAATTATTTATTAAGGTTAATGTGATCAGTATTATTCATTTGCAAGCATTCCTTTTCGTGCGTTCGCATTATGGTGGGCCTACGATTTGTGATACACAGCTTCGAAGTGTCTTTACGTTAGGAAACAAGGAGAGGCCTGCACCTGGTATTTTTCATGTTGCGACAAATATGAGCACAAATTATGTATTACCAAAGCAGGTTTCCTCTTGATCGCGCTTAAAAGAATATTAGTTCTTAAAAGACACTTTACTTACTTTATTGTAAATAGAAAGTTGTAGTAGTTCTCTTCTCTCGGAAGAGTTGTGGCCATGTACTTAACTAAGCAATGGTTTGAGTTCCTTAATGTGTAGATCGCTTGCTTCAACAAGACCTACGCCTTCAATCTGTGAGAACTCTTGATCTGTTGTAGCGTTTCTTTTGAAGCCAGTGCAAGTTAATTTATTTTTTTCATTTAAGTTATGTCGGCATCGCATCGATGTAAGAGAATGTCATGCGCAGTCGCGAATTCATTTTAGTAATTTATTTTATCATTATGTTTATTTTTTTAGTGTCTCATCATCGTGTATTCCCAGTGTCTATGATGTTCGTGAGCTAAATACTCACATATATTTGGGGAAGTCAATAATACCGTCTGAAAACAGTTGCATGTGTTATCCTTGTGGAGCGAACCTCATCCTCTCAACAGACCGCACCCAATGCTTCGCAGCACAGCCCCACTGTGCGGCGCGAGCCGTGGAGTCAAATACATAAACGCGAGGCGGGCACGGCCGGCAAAACTCTCCAACGTTTTTACGGCTCAGAAAATGAAAATAAAACCCGAGCAAGAGAACGCGCGCTGCGGGATCGGGCGTTTAGCGAGCCGCTCTGATTTCCGGCTCCACGATCCGCGGTCGAAATGAAGGCCCGGTGATTGGGATCGGGCGACACGAGTCAAGCGGTGGCCAAGGGACCCGAGGGAGAACAAAAAAGTCGAAATTATGTCAACATGATCTCAAAATGCGAGCCATCTTTGGTCAAAATTTGATCCATTTTGATGTCCAAACTGGCATCATTTGATGTCAGTTTGAATTGATTTTGACTACCTGTTCTCCTTGGGACGCGAAGGAAGCCGGCAGGAAGCGGAGCGCAGGACGGACAGCCTTGCTTTGTCCACGCCAGGCGACGCGGGGCCTCGCTTCGTTCGTCCATCAATTCGATTGCCAGGCGGTTTCGGTCCGAGGCGGCCTGTCGGCCCGTCCGCGGACACAGTCCCTAATCCGTCCCATTCAGACACACGTCCGCGCATTGTTCACATTCATAATCATCGGGCCGGCGAGGCAGCGAGGCGCGGCGGACGGGCCGCGGTGCGTAGCGGCGCGTAGCGGTGCGCGGAGTTTCCATTTCGCCGCTGACACCTCTCTCTCTCTCTCTCTCTCTCTCTCTCTCTCTCTCTCTCTCTCTCTCTCTCTCTCTCTCTCTCTCTCTCTCTCTCTCTCTCTCTCTCTCTCTCTCTCTCTCTCTCTCTCTCTCTCTCTCTCTCTCTCTCTCTCTCTCCCCCCCGGCCTCCTCCCCTCTCCACTCCCGATACTGACGAGTGTGTTTACAAATCACTAAAATTATTGCCCCTGGAAAAAAATTAATAATGACTTGTAAGCGCGAGTTAAATTGTTCCCATCGTGCTAACTCTACTCACTGCTGCCTTATGTTGAAGCGGGCCGATTTGGCTCGCAGTACACTGGTGAAACAAAGGCATAAAAATTATGCCCTTTAAGGGCGTAAACGATTTACGCCCTTAAAGGGCATAAATCGTTAATGCCTTTGGGAAGGGCATTAAAATTTTGCTTGAAATTCCTATACCATTTACGCCCTTCCTAAGGGCATAAAACGATTTATGCCCTTCCAAGGGCGTAAAAGAGTATTTATGCCCTAAAGGGCGTAATTTTTATGCCTTTTTTTTACCAGTGTATTTTCGTCATTCGATGCATGCTGTGTTACTTATTTCAAAGCGCGGCGGGGCTGTTCAACATCGATCTCTGCTTGTCGTAAGCTCCGAGGAAGGTGTGTTTGAGAGAATCGGACTTGCAACTGGCTACCTACAGGTGGCAGCCATGTTCAAGTTTCCGCCCGTTGTAAGCGAGGCGCTGCTGCGTTCTAGAAGTGTATTGTGACCGACGGAGAACAAATCGGACGTTGATGGACGCGGCCGCCTTGCATTGGAAATGAAAATTGGCCTCGTCCCCCTCCTGCCCCGGCCTGCCACTTCCGGTTTCCGCAGGCCGCCGGAAGGGGGCGCCACCACCCCCAGCGCCCTGGCCAGCCCCGGGCACCGCGTGGCGTGGCGGCGTGGTGGCGCGGCGGCGTCCGTACGCCTCGCCGACAGGACCACTGCGTCCAGCGCGTCACGCCGGCGATACCCCGCGCCGCGTCCCTAACGGCGGGGAGTGTTAACGTGACGTTCGCAGCGTTCGCAGTCCGGCCGTGCCGGCCTCGTCGGTCTAGTCGGTCTTCTTGTCCTCGCGGCAGGGAGGGGCGCTGGGGGCGCTAGGCCGTGCGGGGCATGCAGAGCTGCGCGAAGGATTGCGTCGTGCGTCGTGCAGCCTCGTGGCGCCGACGGAAAGACGGACTTGTGCGGAAGATACCCCGCGCCAAAGCGCCCCTCAGCCCCCCTCGCACGCGGAGTATTGGCAGCGGACGTTCTTCCCGCTGGCAGTACAACGGTCGAGGTGCTCGAGGCAGGGCGGGGCGGGCCGAGGGCGTTCTGCGCAGTGCTGCGTACTCGAGCGGCTCTGCGGCCGGGCGGGCCGGGCGGGCCGGGGCCCAGCAGGGCCAGGGGGGCAGGTGGCGCACGTGCCCGAGCGACAAAGACGAGGCCGACCAGGACGAGGACGACGAGGACGAGGCAGCCACAGTTGGGCTAGAGGGTGATAAGCGAGGGGGTGGGGGAGCGACTCGGCCGGACTGGAGTGGGGGTAAACATGGCGGCCGGCTAGGCTGCCCCAGGCTGCCCCAGGCCCCAGTCTGTCTGGTAGGCAACCCGCCAAGCCGCGCCAGCTCGTAGTTCCGCGCCCGCCCGCCCAGTTGGCCAGGCGCCACCGTCGCGAGCGGTGCGGTCCTGCGGTCCTACGGGTCCCACCCCCGCGACTCGCAGCGACCAGGCCGACCGGGCTGCGCGAGGGGTGGCGAGGCGAGGCCCCGTCCCAGCCGGGCGCAGCGCACTCAGCGCAGCGACGCGCGGCACAGTGTGAATCAACAGGCCCGCCCTGCCAGGCCCGCCAGGCCCGCCCATCCAGACCCTCGTCCAGGCCCGCGGCGTGGCCCCGCGCAGCCAGCTCGCCGACGCCGCCATCCTGGACGGCCGCCTGTGGAAGGTGTCCTGGCGTGGACGCGAGGACGCGGGCAGCGCAGGCATGGGCCGGGGCGGCCGGGACCATGGCGTTGGTCGACGACTCCACCTTCAGGGCCATCTTCTACATTGCGGCGCTGGTGGCCGCGGGCGCGGCGCTCCTGGCCACGGACAAGGTCCTCGACATGCTGGCGATGCAGCAACGGGCGCAACTAGCAGCTGACAGCAGGGTACGCCATCTACAAGCGGTGCATCGGCAAGTCAGTGACGGCGTGAGGAGCAAGAGCAGGGACTGCAGGAGGACCAGGAGCAGCAACAGGTGAATGGCGGCCCCGCACTGGCCGCACTGCAGCCCCGCGGCGTGCGCAGCGTGCGCAGCGTGCGGCGCCAGGTGCAGCCTGGTGGCGCTGACGGGGTGACCATGCTGACGCTGCTGCTGCAGCTGCTGCTGCGACCGCCACCGCGCCTCGGCCGCCTTGGCCTCACCATGGGCTGCGGGCCCAGCAACATCATCAACCCCAGGAAGTGGCGCAGCCGGGCGCGCTCCAACAACTCAGGTGAGTTGTCCAGCCTGCCGATGCCTTGCGGGTCTTGCGGGCCTGGTGGGCCCTTTTGCTTGTCGGGTAGATTTCGATCCCGGGCGCCGCCAGCACGGACTGGATACGGTGGCGGAAAGCCTGAGCCCGAAAGCCTGCCGAAAGCCTGCCGAAAGCCCTCCGAAAGCCTGTTGAAAGCCTGTTGAAAGCCTGCAAGCCGAAGGGTCAACGCTATATTGATCTGGCACACTGGCTCACGGCTCACCATGCCAGAAACTTGGACCTCGCGGACGTAGTGACGCCGCCACGGACGCGGCCCGCAGCGCAGCTTCCGGCCCGCTCCATCTCCATCTCGTTGTTTCAACTAATTTGCAATTAACTTTCAAGTTGGCGCGGGGACGCGGGCTTGGCGGCGGCGGGCGGCAGGGCGGCAGGGCGGCGAGTTGACGGGGATAAATAAAGACTACAAAGGGACAGTAATTGGCTTTCCGATAGGGGCAAAGGTTATTTCGGAGCCGGCATAGGAGGCCCTTTAAAATAGAGCCTCACCCCCGACCCCACCTCGCCCCAGCCCCGCCTCGCCGGTGTATTAGCAACAACTGATAGTCCGCACTGCGTCAGGACATTCTGCCGCCTCGATCAATGGCACACACCTTCCCTTCCGCCGTGCTGTGCCCTGCTGCCTGGTCGCCTTATCGCGGCCCTGCCTCGCCCTGCCTCGCCCTGCCTCGCCCTGCCTCGCCCTGCCTCGCCCTGCCTCGCCCTGCCTCGCCCTGCCTCGCCCTGCCTCGCCCTGCCTCGCCCTGCCTCGCCCTGCCTCGCCCTGCCTCGCCCTGCCTCGCCCTGCCTCGCCCTGCCTCGCGCCTGCCTCGCCCTGCCTCGCCCTGCCTCGCCCTGCCTCGCCCTGCCTCGCCCTGCCTCGCCCTGCCTCGCCCTGCCTCGCCCTGCCTCGCCCTGCCTCGCCCTGCCTCGCCCTGCCTCGCCCTGCCTCGCCCTGCCTCGCCCTGCCTGCCCTGCCTCGCCCTGCCTCGCCCTGCCTCGCCCTCTCGCCCTGCCTCGCCCTGCCTCGCCCTGCCTCGCCCTGCCTCGCCCTGCCTCGCCCTGCCTCGCCCTGCCTCGCCCTGCCTCGCCCTGCCTCGCCCTGCCTCGCCCTGCCTCGCCCTGCCTCGCCCTGCCTCGCCCTGCCTCGCCCTGCCTCGCCCTGCCTCGCCCTGCCTCGCCCTGCCTCGCCCTGCCTCGCTCCCCTCGGCCCTCCGCCTCCCCTGCGGTAACGCGCAGTTATAAATACCGCAACGCTCCAAGTGGTCACCGTCCCGGAATGCGAGCGAGTTACCGCCCCCCTCAGCACGCTTCCCCGCCCCGCCCGCCGCGCACGTGCTCCGAGCTTCCTTCCTCACCGCGCCGGGGTTTCATTTTTCCGTGCGTTGGTCTGAATACGCGCGACGCGATGAAATTTAATTACTGAGCTGGCGAAAATGTCAACCAGGGGGCGGTCCGGTGAGGTCGGCGCTGTCGTCGTCATCGGGGACGCGGCCTTGGACACGGCCGTCATGCCCGACGGCGCCCTGGCCGGTCAGCCAGCCTCAGCCAGCCTGGAAGCCAGCCTGGAGGCCGGCCGGGTGGTGGTGGCATCTGCCTGTGACGTCGCGGTGCTCGGGGCGTGGCGGCCTGGCGGCGCGACCGTTGCAAAGGGCCCGATATGTACCAGCCGCAGCAGCAACAGGCTAAAACGCTTAGGAGGGTGGCGCCGGGGAGGGAGAGAGAGGCAGTGTGTCGAAAGGTTCG